TATCTCTCTCTCTCCCTCTCCTTTCCTCTATCTGAAATAAAGATATACTTTTTTAAAAAAACATTTTTTAACTAAATTTTTTTTTTATAAAAGAATTTTGTTTTGCTTAGCTTGTTTTTAGTTTTGTTTCTCTGTTTTGTTTTGTTTATTTACTTTGTTTTGTTTTATCCTTGCTTCTACTATCAAGACTTTCTTGATATCCCTGCTTAATGACTGGGACTTTATCATTATAACCAAGTTTACTGCTTTCCTCTGTAGTTTCCCCCACATCTCTTACCAGACTCCCTCCCTGCCCAGGCTTTATCTTTCTCCTCTCGATCCATTGGCATAACTTTTTTTCTTCTTTTTTCTTTTTCTTCTTTTCTTTCATTCTTTTGTTATCCTCCATTCTGTCTTCCTGTCTTTTTGTTCAATTGTTAGTTTATCTTATTCTCTTTATTGTATTTTTATTTTCTCATTTTCAACTATTTATTCCTATTCTCTCCCTTAATTTTTTGCTGGCCCTTCTTTCAGAATCTTTTCTCTGCCTCGGTTATCTCCCAGTAGTTTCTCTATTTTTTACATTTTAGTTTATTATTTTCTAAATTTTCATCACTGTTAACAATATACATCTCTGTCTCTAAGCGTTACTTTTCTTTCTCTCTGTTTAAGTTTTTTTGTGTGTGTGTTCTCCCTTTACTCTTCCAGTTCTATCTTTACTTGGGTTGTTTTCATTGTGACTGTCAAGATATTTTGTAAGATACCTCTTGTTTCTTGGAAGTTTAGTTGTGTATTGTCCTGCCTTGCCAGCACCCGTACAACAGTTTACACGATGAAGTTGGGGCTGAGACACAGCCAACCTGAGAGGAGAGTCCTCCCAAAGACTGGTCAATGACAATCTAGACCCAACCACAACAGGAGAACATAAAGAAACCACAAAAGGGACACCCACAAAAGGGACACACCTTGAGCAAAGAGCTCAGAAGTATAAGGAAGACATATCTCTGGGCTCCACTGGACCCACAAGACAAAATCCCATTCCACAAGACTGGGAGACAGCAAATATATCTAATATATAGATACAAACACTAAGACCTACCAAAATGGGGAGACAAAGAAACAACCCCCAGAAAAAGGGACATCTGTAATACTTTAAACAAAAATAAAAATTATAAAAAGTTAAAAAAAAAGAAAGAAATGAGGAAATTAAAAAACAACAACAAAAAAACAACCCCCAAATTAAAGAAAAGGAAATATCACCAGAAAAAGTCTTTGATGAAATGGAGTTAAGCAAGCTATCAGAAACAGAGTTCAGAGTATTGATGATGAAAATGTTCCAGGAACTTAAAGAGAAAAACAAGGCAACAGAGGATAAGATCGAGGACTTTAGGGAAAACATGATAAAAGAGATACATAACATAAACAAAAATCAGACAGAAATAAAGAATGCTGTATCTGATATCAAGAATACACTGGAAGGAATTAAAAGCAGGCTCAATGAAGCAGAGGATAGAATAAGTGACTTAGAAGACAAGGTAGAAAAAAATCACACAATCAGAGCAGCAAAAAGAAAAAACACTTAAAAAGCATGAGGACAGTCTAAGGGAACTTTGGGACAACATGAAGCACAACAACATTCGCATTATAGGAGAGTCAGAGGGGGAGGAAAGAGAGCAAGGGATAGAGAACTTGGTGGAGGAAATAATTACAGAAAACTTCCCTGTGCTGGCAAGGGAGAAAACCACACAAGCTCAGGAAGCACAGAGTGTTCCAAACAAGAGGGACCCAAAGAGACCCACTCCAAGACACATCATAATTAAAATGGCAAATGTCAAGGACAAAGAGAAAATATTAAGGGCTGCAGGAGAGAGACAAGCAGTGACTTACAAGGGAACCCCTATAAGGCTGACAGCTGATTTCTCAACAGAAACTCTTCAGGCCAGAAGGGAGTGGCATGAAGTTCTCAAAGTAATGAAAAGCAAGAACATGCAACCAAGATTGCTTTATCCAGCCAAGCTATCATTTAAAATTGAAGGTGAAATAAAGAGCTTCCCAGACAAAAAAGGCCAAAGGAGTTTAGTACCACCAAACCAGCAATGCAAGAAATGCTAAAAGGACTGCACTAAGAAAAAGAAGGAATAGTGAGAGAAAAGTACGTCAGCATAAAGGGAAAAAATGGCATTAAATAAGTTTATATCAAGAGTAACCTTAAATGTAAGCAGAATAAATGGTCCAATCAAAAGACATAGGGTAGCTGAATGGATATATGGGAGGACCCAAATATATGCTGTCTACAAGAGACCCACCTGAGAGCAAAAGACTCACACAGGCTAAAAGTGAAGGGATGGAATAAAATATTCCATGCAAATGGAAAGGAAAAGAAAGCTGGAGTAGCAATTCTTATTTCTGACAAAATAGACCTCAAAATAAAGACCATAACAAGAGACAAAGATGGTCAATACATAATACTAAAGGGATCAATCCAACAGGAGGAAATAACCCTTATATAAACATTTATGCACCCAATATAGGAGCACCTAAATATATAAAAAATTTCTTGGGGGACTTTAAGGGGGTATTGACAGCAACACAATCATAGTGGGGGACTTTAACACCCCACTGTCAGCATTGGACAGATCATCAAGACAAAAAATCAACAGGGAAACACAGACCTTAAATGACTCACTAGACCTAATGGATTTAATTGACATTTACACAACATTTCATCTTAAAGCAGCAGAATACACATTCTTCTCAAGTGCACATGGAACATTCTCAAAAATAGACCACATGTTAGGGCACAAGGCAAGTCTCTACAAATATAAGAAGATTGAAATCATATCAAGCATCTTCTCGGATCACAATGCCATGAAACTAGAAATCAACCACTATAAAAAAACTCAAAAATATTCAAACACATGGAGGCTAAACAGCATGTTATTAAACAATGAATGAATTACCAATGAGATTAAGGAAGAAATCAAACACTTCATGGAAAGTAACGAAAATGAACAGAAAACAACCCTAAATCTATGCGACACGGCAAAAGCAGTCTTGAGAGGGAAATTCATAGCATTACAGGCCTATCTCAAGAAACAAGAAAAAGATCTAATGAACCATCTAACACAACAACTAAAAGAACTAGAACAAGAACAGCAAGAAAAGCCCTGAGGAAGTAGAAGGAAGGAAATAATAAAAATCAGAGCAGAGATTAATGACATAGAGACTAAAAAAACAATACAAAAAATCAATGAAACCAAGAGCTGGTTCTTTGAAAAGGTAAATAAGATTGATGCACCTTTAGCCAGACTCACTAAGAAACAAAGAGAGAGGACCCAAATAAATAAAATCAGAAATGAAAGAGGTGATATAACAAACTGACCCAACAGAAATACAAAGGATTGTAAGAAAATACTACGAGCAACTATATGCCAACAAATTGGACAACATGGGGGAAATGGACAAATTCCTAGAAGCATACAACCTTCCAAAGCTGAATCAAGAAGAGGCAGAAAACCTGAATAGGCCGATAACAACTAATGAAATTGAAGCAGTAATCAAAAAACTCCCAGCAAACAAAAGTCCTGGACCAGATGGATTTACAGGCGAGTTTTACCAAACATTCAAAGAAGAATTAACACCTATTCTATTCAAACTATTCCAGAAAATTCAAGAGGAGGGAAAACTCCCAAACTCTTTTTATGAGGCCAGCATCATCCTAATCCCAAAACCAGATAAAGACACTACAAAGAAAGAAAATTACAGGCCAATATCCCTGATGAACATAGATGCTAAAATCATCACTAAAATACTAGCAAACTGGATCCAGCAATACATTAAAAAGATCATACATCATGACCAAGTGGGATTTATTCCGGGGATGCAAGGCTGGTACAACATCCGCAAATCAATAAATGTGATACATCACATAAACAAAATGAAGGACAAAAATCATATGATCATATCAATAGACGCAGAAAAAGCATTTGACAAAATCCAGCACCCATTTCTGATAAAAACTCTCAGCAAAGTGGGAATAGAGCGATCATACCTGAACATAATAAAGGCCATATATGAGAGACCTACAGCCAATATCATACTCAATGGGCAAAAACTAAAACTATTTCCATTAAAAATAGGAATAAGACAGGGGTGTCCAATTTCACCACTCTTATTCAACATAGTACTGGAAGTCCTCGCCATAGCCATCAGACAGGAAGAAAACATAAAAGGTATCCAAATTGGAAAGGAGGAAGTAAAACTGTCATTAATTACAGATGACATGATATTGTACATAGAAAACCCTAAAGATTCCATCAAAGTACTACTAGGTTTGATAAATGAATTTGGCAAGGTAGCTGGATACAAAATCAACATCTGGAAATCAATGGCATTCTTATACACCAACAATGAACTTTCAGAGAGAGAAACTAAAAAAGCAATACNTACACCAACAATGAACTTTCAGAGAGAGAAACTAAAAAAGCAATACCATTTACCATTGCAACTAAAAAAATAAGATACTTAGGAATAAACTTAACCAAGGATGCAAAAGACCTGTACTCAGAAAACTACNAAAGACCTGTACTCAGAAAACTATGTGACACTGAAAAAAGAAATAGAGGAAGATTTAAACAAGTGGAAAAATATACCATGCTCATGGATTAGAAGATTTAATATCATTAAAATGTCCATACTACCTAAAGCAATTTATAAATTCAATGCAATTCCTATTAAAATACCAACAGCATATTTCACAAACCTAGAGCAAACATTTTGAAAATTTATATGGAACCAAAAAAGACCCTGAATAGCTGCAGCCATCTTGAGAAAAAAGAACTGAGTGGGAGGGATCACATTACTGGACTTCAAACTGTATTACAAAGCCACGGTAATCAAAATGGCCTGGTATTGGTACAACAACAGGCATATAGAACAATGGGACAGAACAAAGACCCCAGACATAGACTCACGCCATTATGGTCAATTAATATTTGACAAAGGAGGGAAGAGCATACAATGGAGTAAAGACAGTCTCTTCAATAAGTGGTGCTGGGAAAATTGGACAGATACATGCAAAAACTGAAACTAGACCAGCAACTTTCACCATACACAAAAATAAACTCAAAATAGATAAAAGACTTAAATGTAAGTCAAAAAACCATAAAAATTTTGGAAGAAAACATAAGCAGTAAAGTCACAGACATCCCATGTAGTGGAATTCTCGCTGATACATCTCCTAGGGCAAGAGAAACAAAAGGAAAAATAAACATATGGGACTACATCAAACTAAAAAGCTTTTGCACAGCAAAAGAAAACAGCCTCCAAATACAAAGGAACTCCATGGTCTGGGAAAACATATTTGCCAAGGATGTGTCTGATAGGGGGCTAATCTCCAAAGTGTACAAAGAACTCACACTACTCAGCAAGAGGAAGACAAACAACCCAATTAAGAAATGGGCAAAGGACCTGAATAGATACTTCTTTAAAGAGGACATACAGATGGCCAAGAGACATGAGAAAATGCTCAACGTTGCTAATCATCAGAGAGATGCAAATTAAAGCCACAATGAGGTATCACTTCACACCTGTCAGAATGGCACCATCAACAAATCAACAAACAACCTGTGCTGGCGAGGGTGTGGAGAAAGGAGAACCCTGGTACACTGCTGGTGGGGATGCAGACTGGGGCGACCATTATGGAAAACAGTATGGAGGTTCCTCAAAAAATTAAAAATGGAGCTGCCTTTTGACCCAGTGATTCCACTCCTAGGAATATATCCTAAGAATCCTGAAACACCAAT